GGATTCAGAACAGGGCCCTAGTCCTTCTGTCATTATTATATAGTCCTCTTCATGCTATCCTCTCCAGGACTCAAACCACACCATTGTAGAGCTTAAGCATGACTTAGCCTGGAGCCTTAGTTTTACAGAAAAGCAAACTGGAACTTGAGAGACATTGTGGCTTAGTAAGATCACATAGCAAGTAACAGAACTGAACTCTGAGCCCTGGTCTTGTAATGCCAAGTCAGGGCTATACATATGTTGGGGAGCTGCCATCTTGTCTTATAGGCACCGAACCCTCTACTATGAAGAAGCTTTACAAGAGCAGAAGGGCCTGAGGTTCCAACCCAGCCTCAATTATCAACCCAAATGGGATGAAATGAGGCCCCATCAGCCTTTTCCCCCATTGACACAGGCTCATGGCCTAGCTAAGAAGGAACATCCAACTGTATTGGAGTGTGGTGTTTAAACGTCATATCTGTGAATTCCACATGTGTGAACATCTCAGGTACATTCACATCTGTTATATTTTTCAACATCATTCATTTGGGTGATTAGTAAACTACTTTCTGACACAGAAATGGAAAATCTTGTTAAAAAAATTGAAATAATTTTGAGAATGGGTATTATAATAATTTCATTTCCAGCAATTAGGTCTAACTCTCCTAAATATTTCAGTGTCAAATGCAAATTTGTGTGAAATTGTGTGTTCATGTGCATGCAATATGTGCACATACCTATGTGTGTGCATGTGTGTTTAAGCTATGTTGCAGGCAAAAAACAAAAAAAGGTACAAAAAAGGATTGGATGCTCCTCGACAAAAATGGGCCAAAAAAATTATAACTGAGCAATTCATGTTTTCGTTTTTGCTTCTCTTTTCTCTTCCAAGGGGAAGGATCTTTGCTGTAGGAAGGATAAGACACCAAAATGAATAAAAGCAAAAGGAAGCCCCAGATCAAGTGGAGGCTGTAAGTCCATTTAATTCAGTACAATCTGAGAAGCTCTACCCTCACCTGATTCTCTTCCTACATATTTCACTGTTCCTTGTCAGTCTTCTGGCTCTAGCTCATCTAGGTCACAATTGCCAACCCACGTACACCTCCCCTCAGCACTCTGTAGGATCTGTGCATTGAAGACCCAGGAATGCCAACTATAGGCCTGCCATATCTGGCGGATTATCTTGAGATAACTGTAGGAACCAGGTTAACTTGCTTTCCTTTTACAATTGTCTTTTTATCCCCCTGTATAGAGAAGCAAGGAGGCAGAGGTCTATTACTCTCACTCTTCCTAGCTTTCCCACTGAGTGGACTTTAAAAATCAAAGGAAAGAGATGGAGGACATTCTAAACAAAAGAAAAACAAGGAAGAAGAATCCAAGAAAAACCAAGAAGACTGTGAAAGGAAAGTCAACTAATTAGAAAAGAGGATCCAGAATCTCAAAGAAAAAAATGACACCTTGAAAATTAGAATTGGGCAAGGGGAAGCCGCTGAAATTATAAGAGGTCAAGAAATAATTCAACCAAATATGGATAGTGAAAAGAAATAAAAGAGAAAATGAAATATCTTATAAGAAAAACAACCAATCTAGAGAACACATCAAGAAGAGAAAACATAAAAATAATCAGATTACCTGATAGTTATGACAAAAAATCTCAATACAATCATACAAGAAACAATTAAAGAATATTGGCCTGAAGCATGACAACAAAGGAGGAGATTAGAAATAGAAAAAAATCCATTGATCACTACTTAAAATAAATCCTTGAGGAACACTCATAGGAATATTGCAAACAAATTTAGAAACACCCAGCTCAAGGAGAAAATATCACAAGCAACAACCAAAGAAAAAAAAACAATCTAAATAAGATGGTTCCACCATCACACAGGACCTAGCAGCAGAGATTATAAAGGACTGCAAGTCTTGAAACACTATCCATCTAAGAGCAAAAGAACTAGGGCTCAGTCCAAAAATGTCATATGCAGCAAAGGTAAACATGTCCCTGGATAAAAACAATAGACATTTGCTCAACTGTCAGACATCCAAGATTTTGTAAAAACACACAAACAACAAAACAAAAACCACAATAACACCCTGAATTCCCTAAACTTAATAGATTTGACCTATGACATCCAAGAGAAACATAAAGTACATACCAAAGAATTATTACAAAGGATTCAATAAGGACAGACTATTTCCTTTTCATATACGTAAAAGGCAAAACTTAAGTCCAAGATTATATTAATAATTGAGTAGCTCACCTGAAAGACTGAGGTAGACCAGAATAGAATATGACTTTGAAAAGGAAAATGATTTAGGAACAGCTAAAAAGAGTAATTATTTTATACCAATGAGGTATAAGTGGAAGCACCAGTGCAGGAGAAGGAGATGAGGAAGGAGGGCTTGAAATTCTGTTAACCTACTTTCATCAGGAATGAGTTTAAGAGGGAGCAATACATATATTTGGAAGGGGATAAAAGTCTTCTAAATTTAGAAGAAATGGGATGGTGGAGAGGACAAGAGAGGAATCTCTAGAGGGCAGGGTGAGGGAATAGCTTATAGGGGGCTATAGATGGTTGCTTAGATTGATGAGAATTGGAGGATAGGGGAGGGATCCTTGGAGGGGTGTAGGGTAAGTAATAGAAGGGGAAGGTAGTGGGTAGCAGTAAAGTAGAGGAGTCAGGAGGGATAGGAAAAAAGAGATATGCACAAATATAAATACAAAGTCAGGAGCAGAATTTGGGAAAGTACATGTCTGTATATGTATATGTATATATGGCTATAGAGAAATATATCAGCACCCAGTTGTAGCTTTCTGGGGGTGGGATGAGAAGGGGAAAAAAAGAACACGTTAAAAAAGTGCAGAGAAGAGAAGAAAAGAAACCTTACAAGGAAGTAAGAATGAACAACTCTTGACACAAGTTGTACTATTTGTCATACAGGCTTTCTGGAAATGAAAATCTATCATTACATATTTTGAATCCTCTCCTAGGTTCTGCTGTGCACATGACATTCTCCTTTTTTTCTTTTGATACATTGTAATTAAAATGCAATATTTAAGTTCATGATACTTTTTCTTCTTTTCTCTGTTCTGTACTTGTGCCCTGGTGTTTGAGTCTACACTAAAATTCAATTACAGAAAACAGAAAAGAATACTGAGATGGGGAGCCAGAAGAGCCAAAAACCTGTAAAGAATCCATCCATTTCCTGAAATGGAAAGATGGAAAGATGATATTTGTAACCCAAGAGACCTTTCTCATGAGAGAGCATAGGGCGAGTTCAATATAAAGGCATGACATTCAAATATAAACTGAAGGGGTGAGACAGGAATGTACTGGGAGGAGGAGAAAGGGAGAGGTAGAATGGGATAAATTATGTCCCATAAAAGTGGCAAGAAAATGCTTTTACCGTGGAGGGGAAGAGGAGGAAGATGAGAAGGAATGAGTAAACCGTACTCTCATTCCAATTGGCTTAAGGAGGAAATAATGTACATACTCCATTGGATATGAAAATCTATCTTACCCTACAAGAAAGTAGGGGGTAAGGGGATAAGGGGGAGAGTGATAGAAGGAAGGGCAGATGAGGGGAGGGGTTAGTCAAAAGCAAACACTGTTGAGGAGGGACAGGGGAAAAGAGAGAATAGAAGAAATGATGGGGGGGCAGGATAGGATGGGGCGAAATATAGTTAGTGTTTCACAACATGACTATTATGCAAGTGTTTTACATGAATACAGAAGTATAAACTCTATTGAATTGCTTCCCTTCTCAAGGAGGGTGGGTGTGGAGTGAGGAAGGGAGAAAACTTGGAACTCAAGTTTAAAAACAAATGTGAAAAATTGCTTTTACATGTAACTGGGAAATAAGATACACAGGTAATGGGGTATAGCAATGTATCTTACTGTAGAGGAAAATAGAATGGGAAGGGGATAAGAGAAGAGGGGTGACCAAAAGGAGTGCAGACTGGGAGAAGGGGGAATCAGAAGCAAAACACTTTAGAGGAGGGACAGGGTGAAAGGAGAGAGACAATAGAATAAAAGAGAATAGGGGAATAGGATAGGGGGAAATACAGGCAACAACAGTTAAGTGTCAAAAACAATTTTGAAGCAAGTTTCTCTGAGAAAGATGTCATTTCTCCAGCATTTCGAGAACCTTGTCAAATTTATAAAAATCAGAGCATAATTGATGCATAATCAAAAGATACAATCAATTTTTAAATGAAGTAATGAAAGGTATGTATTGCCACATAAAAAAAGAATCTGCCTTGCTAGTGAAAGGAGAAATGCAAGTCAAAACAATTCTGAGGCACTATCTCATACCTATTGGATTCGATAATAGGAGAGAAAAGGTAAATGAGAAAGGTTGGACAGGATGTTGGAAAAAGCAGAAATTAATGTACCGTTGTCAGAGTTGTGAAGTGAAGAAACCATGGTATAGAGTGATTTGAAACTATGACCAAAGGGCTACAAAACCCTGCATACCCTATACCATATTTGACATAGCAGTAGCACTGCTACTTGTATATCAGCAAAGAGATCGAAACCAACAAGGAAAAGGACATATATGCACACACATATTTATAGCTGATCCTTTCTGGAGGTAAAGAATTAGAAATTGAGGGCATGCACATCGGTTGTGGAACGGCTGCATAAGTCGCGGTAGGTAATTATGATGGAAATCTCTTATACTGTAAGAAAGAATGAACAGGATGCTCTTCATAAAACCTCAAAAGACTTACATGGGTTGATACAAAGTGAAACGTATTGAGTACCAAGTAACAGCAGTATTGTAAGATGATCAGCTGTGAATGACTTGCCTATTCTCAGCAATACAAGGATCCATGACAACTCTGAAGGACTTAGGATGAAAAATAGTATCTATCCCCAGAGAAGGCACTGATGGTGTCTGAATACAAATTGAAGCAACTTTTTCCGCTCACTTTCTTCATTTTTCTGGAGTCTTTTTGTCTATGTTTTCTTTCATCACATAACTATTATGGATATATTTTGTATGACTACAAATATATAACCTATATGGAATTGCTTGCCTTCTCAATGAGGGGTTGGGGATGGAGCAGGAGAAAGGAGGGACTTTGGAAGTCAAAGTTTTAAAAACAAATTGTAAAAAGTGGAAATCATAATACTGATAACAAATCTTAGTTGGCCTTGACCCTCTGGACATCCCTGAGGCACAGAAGGCCCTCTTGAACGTTGGAGGGCCCTTCCCACTCCCTCCCTCAGCAGCTGGAGTTTCCAGGTGCTGGGGACATCACCACCCTTGCAATAAGCTCCAAGTCAGCTCCAGTAGCAGCCACAAGGGAGGCAGGGGGGCACGGTGGAAGGGCTCGAGGGCAGTGGGAGCAGATGCTCTCCCAACTTGGGGAGGGACACCCCTAGCCAACAGGGGACTTTATCAACATGATCCCGAGTAAGCTGAAGGCCCCCCCTCCCCCGGCCACACTGAAAGGGGGAAGCAGGGAATTCTCTAGAATGCCCAAAGCCAACTCCAAAGGAGGAGCTAACCCCAGGGATTGGAGGGTGGACTCCCTCTGAGGCTGCAGAGCTGGGGTGAAGAGGAAGGAAGAAGGGAGGTTGTCTGAGGGGTGGGCATAAGGCCAGTCTGAAGCCCTCCAATCTACTGGTTAAAAGTTCAGGCCTTCCTTTTTCGGGGGAAAAGGGGAACTAAACAGAGAGAAATGAGCGAAGGAGATGAAAATATCCCTTGCATTCTGAACCACATTAAAAACAGCAGAAGTGAATGACTGGAAAGCCCTACAGTGGTGGCTACCTTGGAAGGGCTTTCTCCAGCACAGGTCTCATTCTGGCTGCCACACTCTGAAGAGAAGGACTGCCCTTTCCATCTCCCTCTGGGACAAAGTCTGCTTCATTGTTCTAATGGGGTGTGTGTGTGTGTGTGTGTGTGTGTGTTGGTGTCTTTGGGGAGAGGCAGTGCTGGCAACAATCCTGTTCCCAGGGTTGACCTTCCCAGATCACTGGCCCTAGATGCCCCTCTAGCCTGGCCAGAATGGGGCTCATTACCCATTCTATGAGCCGACTTGGCCGATCTCATCCTCCCAATCCCAAAGCCCAGCTGCCCTCTAGAAAAGTCTCTAAAGTGAGACAACGCCAGGCCAAGGACGATCGTCTCAAGATGACAGCCTGGCTGCCCCTGGTCCCAGCTCGTGCTCTCTTTGTCCTCGCAGTCCCTTTAGCACGGGCCCAGCGTTCCGCAGGCGTTACCTTGGTAGCCATCAAAGGACGCGGACCTGGACGCGGACTGGGACGCGGACACAGACGAGGCGGTCGGCTGACCGACTTAGCAGTCTCAGCAGGTACCCAGCAGGGCCATGCTATGGCATGGAGTGGCCAAGAGAAAAGGGGCTGGCCAGGTAGAGGGTCTGGATGTCGGTGCCCTCCTCTGTGCCGGGGCACATCTGCACTCCCAAGATTTGCTCCCTGGGCACGGCTGCCTCTGCTCCATCCCCTAACGTCTCCCCGCAAAATCCCCAGGAACAGTGGTGTCCATGACTGAGTGGACTTCCTCAGCGCCAGGCCTGTTTGCTCCCCTGCTTCATCTCCCTTTCCCACAAACAACCGCAACATCGTGTTGCCCAAGCCAGGGCTCATTTCCCAATACCAACTCCTGGCATGCCTTTCCACCTTCGTCTCCGATAAAGTACGCTTGCTTTCCCTATTGCTGCGAGTTGCTGTGTGTGTGACAGAGTGTGGCTCTGTGTGTGTGTGTGTGTGTGTGTGTGTGTGCGCGCGCGCGCGCGAACCTGTGTTTGTTTGGGGAGAGGCAGCCCTGGCAACACGCCCGTGCCCAGGGTTGACACATCTAGTCCCCTGGCCCCAGGTGCTCCTCTTGGCTCCCCAGAAAGGGCTTGGTAATCCTCGCTATGCCCGGGCTTGGCCGGGCTCATCCTGCCAGTGCCCGGATCCAGCCGGCCTCTAGCAAACTCTCTAAAGTGGGGCAGCCCTAGTCCGAGGATGATCCTCGCAGGATGAAAGCCTGGCTGTTCCTACTGCCATCTCACACCCTCTTTGTCCTTGCAGTGCTTCTGGCACGCGCCCAGCGTTCGCCAGGCGTTACCTCGGTAGCCAAGCAAAGGACGCGGACTGGGACGCGGACGCGGACTGGGCGGTCTCAGCAGGTACCCCGTAGGGCCCACACTGGCATGGCGGGGCCGGTAAAACAGGTGGTAGAGAGGTGCGGGGTCTGGAGCTCGGTGCCCTTCTCTGTGCCAGGGCACAATATCTGCACCTCGTCTTGTCTGTGTACCTTCTCAGCCAAGGAACAACACCTGCCCCTCCCAAGAGCTGCCAGCTGTGCACAGCTGACTCGGCTCCATCCCCTAACCTCTCCCCCCAAATCCCCAGATACACAGGTGTCCATGATGGAATTCAGTCCTCCCATACAAAGCCTGCTTACCCCCCGACTTCATCTTCCTCTCCCACAAACCACCCCATTATCGAGTTGCATAGGCCTTGACAGTTCAGAAATCCCTCAGGAGGCATTGAGGTTGGAGCTCAGTGAGCAGGCACATAGGAAGGCTCAGGGTCTGCCTTGGAGGCTCTTCCTGGTGCTATGAGAATCCCTGGGGAGCTTACCACTTGTCCATTTACTCATCTGTAATAGGAGTGGGATAATCCTTCAGAGTGGTGATGAGGAAATGAAGACCAAAACAAAACAAAACACAAAACCCTGTCCTTCCAGCACTGTTAACCCATGAAGCCCATTGCTGAAGGGTCAGGGTTAGTATCAGCTGGCTAGCTGGGACCAGGACAGAGCTCTTGCAGATGACACCTGCCACCCTTCAGAACAGGCTTTTGGCTGCTGGGGGGACCCAAAGACATGGAAGACAAGGCAGTCCTCAAGCTTACCATCTGTGGGGAGAAGACAAATTCCTGCTTGTGAAGCAACCTGAGAATAATCACAAGCACAGTGTCCAAAGCCCAGATTCTAGAAAGATATGCTAAGGGGCAGATCCAGAATGGAGGCAGCAGAGAGTGGAGCCTCCACTTCCTCAGGGAAGCCTCCTGCAGGATCCTCTTGAAAGAGGACTTGATGGTCAGGCTGAACCAATGCTGAGATCAGGCATGAGACTGCTGGGCCTGACCCTGCTAGGCAGCTATCATCAATGTGCTTTGGAGCCACTTCAGAAACCACTTTAGGAGAGTGCCTCTCTGTGCCAGCCCAGCTAACCTTTTGGAGAAATTAGTCTGGGGCTTTTGGTCCCTGTCCTTCAAGGGCACCCCCTTAACACCCTTCTCAGGGTCTGCCAGAAAATAGCATCGTCACTCAGGCAGTAAGCACTGCTTCTCATTCTTTTTTCCTTCTTTGGGGAATCTCTAGAATTCCCTTGGAAGATGTCTCGGCGCAGTGAGCGCCTGCGCCTCCGGTACCACCTACACGTTGATGGAGATGGCGGCGGCAGCAGCACCAGCAGCAGTGGCTGCAGTTCCCCTGTGGTCGGCCAGCACATTCAATGCAATGACAGTTCCCTCAGGTAAGAGGAGCCAGAGCAAGGCTAAGCCACCTTCACCATCACAACTGCCCATGGCAGCCAAGGCCCTCAGCTGCTGCCATGTGCATATTGCTTTCCTGCCCCCATTTTTGGTGGAGACATCACTCTATTGCTTTCTTTCCTCACAAAGGTGAGAATTCCCTGTCCCCAGCACCATCTCTCCCTCCTCTACCCCAATCTGGCCTACTGCTGCCTTCACTGTCTGAGAACAGGAAATAGGGCGGGGCAACTTTGAGCATGGAAAAGGCCAGGTCCCCTGACACCTCAAGCTGGGTAGGGAACAACCCCTCTCAGCCACGGAACTCTTTTCCCTAGCCCCAGTGCACGTGGTTCTTAGAGTGAGTTTCAGGGCCCAGCAACAGCGCAGGAAGCCACTTGGGTCAAGGGCCTGTGGGGGACGAGACAGCTTCAGGTGGCTCTTCGCTTTTCTCATACCTCATCATGCTAGTTTAATTTGGAAAGAGGTGCTCCCTGGCCCATGGGAGCTGTGGCTTGGTTCAATCCTGCCTCTGCTGTGAAAGATCATTCATCTGTTTAAGGAATAAGAACAGGAAGAGAGGCTTTAGGTATCATTTCTTTCCAACCTCAAAGTCTCCAGCCAAGTCTCATTCCCCTCCCTTTCTTTTTCACCCTTGCTTTCTTCCACTCTCCTATCTTTGCTCTTCATACCTGCTGTTCCCCAGGACTCGGAGGAGGAAGTCAAGTAGGGTCAAAGGCCTCTCACCATCCCCTCTCCTGGCCAAAATCACCTGCAGCACCCCTGGATCCTCCTCAGGATATAGGTCTGAGGATGACTGTGCAGGTAGGCATCACTTCTCCTCCCTAGAGCCCCATCCCCCAGGCACTGCCCCACTGACTTCAGAGGGTGACCCATAGCTGGGGGCGGGGAAGAGAGCTCTGCAGTCTGGCTCTCGATGAGGGTTTGCAGGGTGGGAGTGCTCAAGCCCTCAAGCCTGGTAAGGGGGATGCTCCAGGTCCACTTGTCTCTCCTTCTGGTGAATCCTCATTTCTTCCCTTCCTTGCAGGGCACTCGCTTTTGGACCAGCCTGGCTCTGCATCCAACCTAAAGAACAGGGCTTCCCAGGTGGCCCTTCCTTGGATGGCCATCCACTTCTCAGGTGGGTTCTGCCAGTGGGTGGGCACAGTGCCCAGGGTAGTTCCTGCAGTGCACCTAGAAGAGATTCCTCATTCCTATGTAGGGACATGCTGGGCCCGGCTAGAGTAACTCTAGGACAGCGTGTAGAGATGGGCTGAAGAGAGAAAGATCCCCAAGCACAGCTACAGAGCCCTGGGAGGATGCGAGACCAGAATAGCAAGAAGCGGCTTCAGAGCTGGCAGGCTGGGAAGGGGCTAGCTCTGGGACATGATGGGCTTGCAGGGTGAAGCCTTTCAATCTCTCTGCTGGGACTTTTGCAGGTTGGCTCTTTGGCCTGCTCCGCTGGTGCCTTCATAACACCTGGTACCGCCTGACCACAGCTGTCTCCCTGCAGGACATCTATGTTTTCACCAGGTCAGTGAGGACTACCTGGGGCCTGCCAGAATCAAAGATCCACAGCTCCAAGGACTCCACAGTCCCTCAGATCAATTTCCCCATGTGCTTTGTCCTGTTCTTTTCCAGCTTTTTCAGACTTTTATGCCATGAATCTTATGACAGGGTCAGGTAGGGTCAGGGGTGTGCTGGAACCAGCTGGAAACTGCTTGTCAAAGTCAGCTACCATTCAGGCCCTGATTGAGTGTCTCCACTGAAGAAGATGATGGCAAAAGTGGGTTGCGTGTGCCTTGCCCTCCTCCAGAGCTGGTTGTTCGGCATTCACCGGCACAGGCCAGCCCCCATTACCCTTGGTTCTTCAGGGAAGTGGGTTGGCTCTCACTATCGCGGGGATTGTCTTCCTGAGTTTCTTTTAGGAGATCTCTCCTCAGTAGTTCCTGCCTCTGATCACAACTGACTCTGGTGAGTTCACCTTTGCCAGTCGGCGGGTCCTGAGTTGCCAGGGACACTCCCTACTTTGGGTTTGAATCCAGAATTTTCTGCCCAGACCTCCAGGTGGCCAGGTCATTCTAGCAGTTTCTCTGTGGAGGAGCATGCCTAGGATTCTAGGCTGCCTCCAGGGCTGAGTCCAGGAACCTCTAGAGCAGGGGTGGGTATCTTGCGGCCTCCAGGCCACATGTGGCCTCCTAGGTCCTTGGGGAGGCCTTTGGACTGAGTTCAAATTCTATGGAACAAATCCTTTTCTGAAGGGGATTGATTCTGTGAACCATGGCCACACTGGAGGACCTCGAGGGACACATATGTCCTTGAGGCCTCCAGGTTAGCCACCCCAGCTCTGGATTCCTGGGGCCACAGGCTGGGCCAATGGTGACAATCCCACTTTAGCAGCAGTTCTTCCTGCAGCTCTTCCAAGTCCCAATTGACAAGAACTGGAAGGATTTAGAAACAAGACTGCCTAATTGCAGGACATCTGCCACCTGACCTCACAAAGGGCAGCATGTCACCTATCCTAACAACATGAATACATTTCACAAAGGCCAACTTTACTACTCGCACTTTACCCTGAGGGCTGTCCATTAAACCCCAGGTCTCCACATGTTCAGTGCCCAGTGGCAGGGGGTGAGTGGGGGGGGCACACACTTTGGGGTTTCATTTGCCACGCAGAGAGGGTCTCACCAGATCCTGTGATGGGGAAGGGCAGACCTTAACATCTCCTCCTTCATCTCCATGAAATCCAGGAGCTTTTCCACTGGGAAGAAGTTGCTCCTCTCTGTCTTGGGCATGCTGTTTCTTGTGGCTTTGCTGGATTATGGTGAGCATTGTTGAGTCCCCAGGGCAGCTGGGGTGGGCAGTTGGGGTAGGGGGAGACAAGGGCTTGGGGACACGGCAGCTAGAGGACAGTTTGGAAGACAGAGCTTTGAAGGGGAGCCTTTAGGGAGCCAAAGGGACAAAATCACCAACAAAAGGCAACCAGGTCACGGACGGACACGTTCTCGTGCCTAAAGGGTGAGAATTATGCCTTGTCTCTCATTCTCCTCTCCATTCAGCCCAACACACTTTGATTGTGCATTTTCTGTATGCAGGCCTCAGAGCCTCAGGCTGCAGGGTATGGGTGGTTGTCCTGCCCACTTTGAGCATGACCCGCACTTGGAGCAAGGAGGTGTTTTATCTGTGCCCTCCGTGGTCACAGACAAGGTACTGGAGGGTGGGTGATTGGTAGAGGAGCTGACTTAGGAAGGAATCGGTTATGAGGGCAGGACATACCCAATGCCAGGTCTGGAGGGCTTCGTCCCTTTTCTTTGGTGAGAACACACAGGGTGGTCCTCCCGGGATGATCCCAGAAGGCCTGGACTCTTGGTCAGGAGCCACGCCATTCCTCAGCCCATACTGTGAGATAAAGTCCACCTCAGAAATGATGACACCACAAGCTGAAGGTCACCAAGGTCTGTCTGCAGGCAACCTGTCTGTAGAGCATCCTGCTCATTCAGAAGGGACGGAGCTCTGTGTTGACCAGGCTTGGGACCAGGAGGCATGACTTCTGGCTTCAGTTCATGTCCTCTCCCCAGCTTATTCTTATCCCTCATTTTTGCCATCATCCAAATGTGTCTAATGACTTCTGAGAGGATCATGAGAGAGTGAACTCTTGGGGTAGAAGGGGCTCTAGCTGTAGCCTTCCAGATCATGATGCCCCTCATGCATCTGCCTCCTTTGGGCTGCGGTCTATGCCCCCTTTGATGTGACACTGCCAGTGTCAGTCCGCATGGAGTTCCGTTCTGGCTCTTGAGACTCAGTCTCAGATTAGCCTTTCCTCCCATGTGCTAGGTGCTTGGTATTTCTACCCCTCTGGACTCCGGACCTTCCACCCTGCTATGCTCTCCTGGTTGGCAGCAAAGGGTAGCAGCAGGAGACAGGACGTGTGGGAATCAGGAGAATTCACACCAGATTTCCAGGTGAGCACCCCACTGAGTGCCAGGAAAGCTTTGCACAGGACACACAGACGACTCATGCACCATCCAGTTCCTGTCTCTTAAGCTAGGGTTACTCAGCCAAGCAGCACTTATGAAGCATGACCTACTGTGGGTCAGGCACTGTCCCAAGGCAAAAACCAAACAAACAACCCCACAGTCCTTGCCCATGAGGAGCTGGCAGTCTCCTCATGAGGAGACATCTAGGTGCCAAGGAGACCTAACAGGACAAATGGGAGTGAAGCATTAGAGGGTGTTGGCTCTGCTGTTTCTTGTAGGGCAGCCATAAAGCCTATTGCTATGCCCTCCTTGAAGGCAACCCTGGTTTGGCAGGATCTGCCAGCTGGTGTCCTCTGCTGCCACTGTCTTTGGGACCCCAGGGTCAGCTCTGCGGGCATCAGAAGAGGGAGAAGTCACATTAGCTGAGAAAGATGCTTCTGTTTTCATTCTTTTAATGAACAAGAATCTATTTTCTTTTTTCTCGCCTCCTATCCATTTGAAAAACGGAAAAACAAACCACTTCTTACAAACATACAGAGACAAGCAAAACAGTTCCTCCTGGGCCATGTCTAAAAGATGTATTTCTCCTTCTGCCTTGGTCCATCCCCTCTGTCAGAAGTTGCATCATTTGCCAGAAGAGTAGCTGGTCACTGCCTTCAACAGAGTTCTGCACTCTTTCACAGTGGTTTGTCTTTGTGCTTCTGCTCACTCTTCTGCCACATCAGTTCATGCAAGTCTTCCCAGCTTTCTCTGAACACCACCCCTTTCATCATCTCTAAGAGTATGGTAGATTCAGTCCCTACTCCATAATTTCTTTTTTTCCAACTCCATCATTTGTTCAGCTCTTGCCAAGTGCGGGGTTTCCAGTTTTTTGTCACAGCAAGAAAAATTGGCCATCAATATTCCTGTCCAGATCGGACTTTTTCCTCTTTGTTTGATCTCTTTGGGGAATAGGCCCAGGAGTTGTCTTGCCAGGTGAGTGGGTAGACATGTTTTATTATCTCTGGCCGGCAACACTCATAACTGCTTTTCAGAATGGCTGGACTAGTTTCCAGTTTCTACTTAGAGCATTGTTGTTGAGTCGTGTCTAGCGAGGTGCACTCTTCGCCACCCCATTTGGGAATTTTCTTGGCAAAGGTCCTGGAGTGGTTTGCCATTTCCGTCTCCAGATGATTTTTAAAGTGAGGAAATGGGGGCAAACAGGGTGAATTATCTTACCCAGGATCACACAGCAACTAACTATCTGAGACCAAGCCTAGAGTTCTACGCACTCTCGCGCCCCCTAGCGTCCCTCGTCCAACACTAATGTGCCTGACTTCGCCCAGCCTGCTCAACTTAGGGCATTTTGCCTGATTGTCCTCTTTGCCAACCTGACAGGTAGGGGTAGAACCTTAGAGTTGCCTTCATGGGCATTTCTCTACTTATCCGTGATTCGGAGCATTTTTTTCATTTGATCATTGATCCCTTGCATTTCTTCTTTGGAAAAATGCCTGTTCATATCCTTTGCCTGTCTACTGGAGAAAGCACCACAGACACCTGATGGGGGGAAAGCCAGCAGGTCATTTTCTCTTATTTTTTTTCCTTTCCAGTAAGATTGACGTCAGCTTTCCTGGGTTTGTTTTTGTATTAAGCCGCATAAGCACAAAATTTGATTTTGGTCACACTTCCAAGCATTATTTCTCCTTCTCCTTCTCCTTCTCCTCCTCCTCCTCCTCCTCCTCCTCCTCCTCCTCCTCCTCTTCCTCCTCCTCCTCCTCCTTCTCCTCCTCTTCCTCCTCTTTCTCCTCCTCCTCCTCTTCCTCCTCCCCCTTCTCCTCCTCCTCCTCCTTCTCCTCCCTCCTCCTCTTTCTCCTCCTCCTCCTTCCTCTTCTTCTTTAAAATAGGTAATTAACTAATTGATAGTTTTTAAGATTCAATTCCATAAGATTTGAGTTTTAAATTGTCGCCCCCTCCATCTCCCCTCCTCCCAACATAGTATGCAACCTGATATAGGCTCTACTTATACATTCAGGTTAAGTAGATATTCCCATTAGTCATGATGTAAAGTAGAATTAGAACTAATGCGAGGAACCATGAGGATGAAGCAATAAAACAAAACAACAAAGTAAAAGGAAATCAAACAGTATGCTTCCATCTGCATTCAGGCTCTATTGTTCTTTCTCTGCATGTGGATAGCCTGTTCCATCACGAGTCTTTTGGAGTTGTCTTTTTACATCCTTGCATTGCTGAGAAGAGCCAAGTCTATCAAAGTCAGTCATCACACAGTGTGGCTGTAAATGTGTACAATATTTTCCTGGGTCTGCTCATTTCCCTCAGCATCAGTTCATATAAATCTTTCTAGGTTTTTCTGAAGTCCACCAGCTCATCATTTCTTATAGCACAATAGGATTCCACCACATTCACATACCACAACGTGTTCAGCCATTCCCCAGTTGATGGACATCCCCTCAATTTCCAATTGTCCTCCACTACAAGAGGAGAGACTAATAGTTTTGTACATGTGGGTCTCTTTCCCATTTTTTATGACCTCTTTGGGAAACAGAACTAGAAGTGCTATCACTGGGTCAAAAGGTAGGCACAAGTTTTTGAGCCCTTTGCACGTACTTCCAAATTGCTCTCCAGAATGGTTGGAGCAGGTCACAACTCTACTGACAATGCATTAGTGTTCCAATTTTCCCACATTTTCTCAACATTGACCATCATCCTGTTTTGTCACATTAGCCAATCTGATAAGTGTGATGTGATACCTCAGAGTCCTGGTGACTTGCATTTTTCTAATCAGAAGAGATTTAGAACATTTTTCACATGGCTCTAGATAGCTTTAATTTCTTCCTCTGAGAACTGCCTGTTCATATCCTTTGCCCATTTATCAATTGGGGAATGACTTCTATTCTTATCATTTTGACCCCAGTCTCTACATATTTTACAAATGAGGCCTTTATCAGAGACCCTTGTTGTAAAACTTCTTTCCTGGTTTTCTATTTCCCTCCTCATCTTGGATGCATTGGCTTTGTTTCTGCAAACAACTTTTCAATTCGATGTAAGCAAAATTATCCATTTGGCATTACATATAATGTTCTCTATCTCTTCTTTGGTCATAAATTCTTCCCTTCTCCATAGATCTGAAAGGTAAACTATTCCTTGCTCTCTTTGTTTGCTTATAGTCTCATTTTTTATATTTAAATTCTGCCCCCATTTGGACTTTATCTTGGTGTAGGATGTAAAATGTAAAATGGTGGTCTCAGCCCCGTTTCTGCCCTACGCTTTTCCAGTTTTCCCAGCAGGTTTTGTTAAATAGGGATTTCTTATCCCAAAAGCTGGAGTCTTTGGATTTCTCCAATACTAGATTAGTATAGTCAATTGACCATTGTGTCTTGCCTACCTAAACTATTCCACTGGTCCCCCACTCTGTTTCTTAGCCAGTACCAAGTAGTTTTGATGCTTGCTGCTTGATGATACAATTGAAGAGCTGGTAGAGCTGGGCCACCTTCCCTTGCATTTCTTTTCATTAGTTCCCTTGCTACTCAGTACCTTTTCTTCTTCCAGATGAATTTTGTTATTGTTTTTTCCAGCTGTGTAAAATAATTGTTGGTAGTTTCTTTGATATCACACTGAATAAGTAAATTATTTAGGTAGAATTATCTTTTTTTACCATCTCAGCTCGGCTTAAGCATGACCAACTCCTATTTTTCCGATTGTTTACTTTATTTGTCTAAAAAGTGTTTTGTAATTAGGCTCATATAGTTCCTGGTTTTGTTTTGGCAGGGAGACTCTGAAATATTTTATGGTGTCTACAGTAATTTGAAATGGAATTTCACTTTCTGTCTCTTCCTGTTGGGCTCTGTTAGTAGTATATGAAAAGATTAGGGAGGAATAAGACTGTCCATGTGACTTAAGAGCTGAGTTGGAAACTTTCCTCAGGGGACTAACAAGTGACCTCACCACTCTGGGGACAATGGTTTGTGCCTAATCCCAGCTGACCTTGGAGGCCTCATCTTGGTGGGAGGGTAGAAGAGAAGCCCAGGCTCTGAAAAGTCTAGCTGGGACTTAAGGTCAAGATTTCTGGAGCCCAGCAGTTTGTGGCGACTCATATGCTCCTCAGCAGAGACAGGGCCCAGCCATAGGAGACCACGAATCCCCACAGTGCAGCGCTGATGTTTTCATCAGTTTCATTATGTACTCTTTTTCCTTACAGGAGCTGGAAAGCGGGGTGCTCCAGCACACGTCTGAGTGGCAAGGGTAAGGCCCCAAACTGACTGACAAAGAGAAGAGGAGGGAAGGAGGGCAAGAAAGCTACACCAGGGAAACCAGTTGCCTGGGGGTTGAGGAGGGTAGGTCAGTGGAGGCAGAACACTTGGGTTAGCATGTCCATAGGATTGATCCAATCTAGGAGGGACCTCAGAGAGCAGATGAGGTTACTGCGGCCCCAGGGGGAAATGACCTAGCCAGGGTCCCCCAGGCAGCAGATGTCAATGAAGACTTGCAGCCAGTTCTGTGGCTCTGTGCTTTCCATTGGGTAGTGCTTTTCTTCAGGTGACACTTGTTCTGTTGGAGTCCATCCTCCAAGTGCCTATGCCAGCGTTGATCCTGAGTTTTCCTTTTGTCACTGGCTAGTTTGTCCCAGGAAGACACCCAGGACAAAAGGCCAAAGGAGATGGGTTCCCTGGAGGCCCAGCTGGCTGGCCTGAGGCAGGAGCTGGTGGCCATCAGCCAGAGACAGGCTGCAATGGCCCAAGAAATACACCTTTGGCGAGAAAAGATGGTGGCCCTGCACAGTGACGTGAGTCCTCCAGTCCCCTGGTTAAGCAATGCATGCCCCTTGATCTCAGGTGGGCTGCTGCTGCCCAAATATCTGCCCAGGGAGCTGCAACCATCTGAGGTTTCCACAGGGCACCTGCTAAAGATTGAGCCTATTGGGGGGACATTGTGACATGGACGAGATTTTCCTCATCTGTCAAGTGGGATAATATCAGGTCCCAATGAGATCCTTTCTGCAAACCTCAAAGGCAGTGGAGAAATGCCAGTCATTTGGTTCACAACCATCCCTTCTCTGGCACCAGGCAGGCATGTGTTGGCCCTGAGCTCTCAGATGTCTCTAGACATGCCAGGCCCTGTCCAGGCCCTCTTCCTTCCTCACCCTTGCTGTTTCTCGGGTGTCTGCTGAGCTCTTTCCTCTGGTGGCTTCTAGATGGAGTCTCACGTCCCAGCTTTAATCCAGGAATACTTTGTTGGAGACAAGGGCACTAAGGCCGGACTTACACAGCTAGAGGAGGTACAGGCTCAGCTTTGGGACCTGGAGCAAAGACTCCTGAGTCATATGGCAGAGGAGCAGGACAAGACTGCCAGCAAAGTTGCTGCTGACTTGAGCTGACCCTTCTGGAAGAAGGAGTGACCACCGGGGTGACGGAGGAGGTGAGCCTGGCCCCTCTGCCTGTCTCCTGCTTAGGGTCATGGTTTGCCCTGAGAGGAGCCTGCCAAGAGGAAGGGGGAAGCCCAGGCTGAGCAGGTAGCATGCTTGCCCGTCCCCTACATGGGCTGGGCGGAGCCTGCAGGTGGCCCAGCCCACAAGTGGTGCATGCCTGTCTTTTAGGAAGTGTATGACATCGTGCAGCAGGCCCTGAAACTGTATAGTGAAGATCGCATTGGGCTGGTGGGTTATGCCTTGGAGTCCTCAGGTAGGTGGCCTACAGAAAACCAGAGGGCTTGGGACAAGAGGGACTGCAAAATCAGGATAGCCATTATGAGACAGGAAGAAATGACAACTGGGGATGCCCTTCATGGGCTGGGGCATTTAGGAGGGCAGATGCCCCAGCTGTGCCCTCTCGCCTTGAGGGTTGCCCTAAGCCATCTCTCTGTCCTGCCAGCCCTTGGGTTGCCCCCTCCACCTTTTCTCTCTGTTGCTCTTTCAGGGGCCAGCATCCTCAGGAGCCGCAGCTCAGAGACCTACGGCACCAGGACGGCCGTTATCAGTCTGTTTGGTATCACCTTGTGGTATCATTTCCAGACCCAAAGAGCCATCCTCCAGGTAGGGCTGAACAAAGGTCCCCCAGCTTGGCTCTCTGCCTGTCATCTCCCCCCTCCTCTGTGGGGGCTGGGCCCTCAAAGCAGAAGGGCCCCAGGATCTGGATCTGGCCCATGTGCTGCCACCTTTCCCATGATTTGTCTTCCATCCACAGCCAAATGTCTACCCCGGCAACTGCTGGGCCTTCCGGGGCCCCCAGGGCTTTGTTGGAGTTCGCTTATCTGCCCGCATCCACCTCACTGCCGTCACTTTGGAGCACGTGCCCAAAGCCCTGTCGCCAGTCAGCAACATCACCAGCGCCCCCAAGGACTTTGTCATCTTGGTGAGTACCTGAGCCTGGCAGCTCTCCTTTCTTGACGTATGGAAAGCCCTTTCTTCACAGCAGCAGCATTTTGAGGTGAAAAATGGAAGGATGTGCCCATTGTACAGATGTGACAGAGCCAGGAAAAGACAACCACAGCAGCAAGAACAGCTAAGATTGCAATGTGCCTTAGGGTCCTTTATTATAGCCAGTTGCCTCCATGAGCAGGTGTCCCCTGGGTGAGTTGGGCAGGGACGGGGATCGCCATTCCCTACAGAGTCACCTAGACAGGGCAGAGATGGAACATCCACATAAGGAGGATTTGGGAGAAAAGATGGAGCCGGAAGAGAAGGTGAAATATGCAGGGGGAGAGGAATACTTCAGGACCCAAATCCTGATACAGATGAAGAAAGTGAGGCCCACAAGGTGAAGGGGTTTCTCCCAAGCCATTCAGCAGCTTTGGGGAAGAGGCTGAGAAGAAGGCCAAAGGGCTTGGAGGGCAAAGGCTCTGTCTATTGAATTAGTGAGAGAGATGCTAGAAGATGAGGGGATCAAGAAAGGCAACGTCAGGGTGGATTGTCTTTGCTTCTCTTTCCCCTCCCCAACATACCCCTCCTTGTCTGGCGCCTCCTCTCCCTGCCACCTCCCCCATTTTTCCCTCCATGGACTGATTTGGATTCTCGTCCTAATAGCACCTCTTTCCTGCACCCCACTGCGGCCATCCATTTGTCCATCCTTCCATTCCCCTTGTTTTTCCTTCTGTGCAGGGGCTCAATGAAGATTCCCAGGTGGAAGGGGTGGCCCTGGCGAAGTTCACCTATGATAATGCTGGGGAGGCCATTCAGACCTTCCACTTTCAGGTATGGAGGGCTCGTCCCACATCACTCACCCAGTGACCCAGGCATGCTGCTGACCTCAAGGGCTGGATCACCAGCCATGAGGACGCTGTGGCTCGGCAAGTGGCTGCAGTGGAAGCCAGGTCCCAACAGGTCTGAGAAGAAGCTGAGGGATAAGCTTAGGGCTCAATTCAGCCACTGCTCTTGGAAGGAAGCCTGGGGCAGAAAGCCTGTGGGGGCTGGGCATCCATGAAGGGATCTCGGGTCTCCCTCACCCCACTCTCCTCTTCCCACAGGGCAACGGCACAGCCCCATACCAGCTGGTACAGCTTCAAGTTTTGAGCAACTGGGGTCACCCGGACTATACTTGCATTTACCGCTTCCGGGTCCATGGCAAGCCTGCCAATTAGAACCTCCCTGCCGGGTCCCTTCACCCTTTCCTCTGTCAGCCACAAGCAAGCAGTTCCCCACTCTCCTCGCTCTCCCTTCTGGGCACTGTGACTTCTGGGAAAGAGACAGAACGTGGGAGCCCACCTCCCTGGAGCCATCTTGCCCCACCAAGCCCTCTATGATATGGAGGAGACCACCAGCTGAGCAATTTCTGTTTCAATCCACAGCATCTGCAGTGTCAGGTGCCTCAGCTCCCTGCCAAGCCCTGCCTACCTCCAAGACGTGTAGAAAGAGCTCTGTAGTAGATGTTGGGGGTGGTAGGGAGTAGAGGGCCTTGCTATGCTCAGCAGCAGTCCCACAGAAACACAGCTTACACCACCCTGGGTCTAGGGCAAGGAATTTGGTGCAGTAAGGGCATGATAAACTGGGCAGCGGCAAAGGGCAGACTGGGAGCCAGTCCCACATGGGCACACTCCAGCAGGGGGCTAATGCCGCTCTCCATGGGACCTTGCATGGTTCTCTTTACCACTGGCAATGATGGGTGCAGTCTTTGAAATCCGAAGAAGTACCTGGGAATGACCGCACCTGTCTGTGCTTTTGATTCTAACAAGGCCAATGGCCTGGATTTCAGGGAAGTTCTGCCCCCAGGATTACCTGCACTGGCATTTAGTACGGCAGCTGGGGATGTACCCATGGCTTGGTGGCCCCTCCTACCCACTGGGGCTTCCTTTAGAGAGGACTGGAAGGTTGCAGGTGTGTGGCAAAGGCAGTAGCATTACATACACAAGTCATCATGAATTAGCTACTGCTGAAAGGAAGCTGGGTCCAGAGTACAGCTACCAGCCATGGGGAGAAGAACTTCCCCTATGCCGCTGGTACGAGATTTCTCCTGCCTGCCCCTCGAGAGCCCAGAGACCCTCATTCTCCACTCTAGCCATGCTTTTATCCACCTCCTCACCTGGAGCTCAGTCACTGTGCTCTCTCCTTTGGGACCATCAGCTCCTGTGGTTGTGGCTACGGTAGGAAAGAGACTGGCCAGGATACTGTTGGGATTGGCCTTTCCCTATCCCTGTCTAGGGCTGGCATTGAGCTGATGCTGTCCTCTATCCTTGAGGCAAACATGACATGCCTCAGGTGCCTCTGCAGGGAAACAGGGCATTGGAGGCTCATCAGTCTTTTACTCTCAGCTCGGATTCTAGTTCCTTTTGGGCCAGCTTAGCACATGGGAGGTTTAAGGGGATAGGGTTGGGGGAGGGGCTTGTTGAAGCTAAGTCTGGGAGGGAGGGAGGGAGGGGAAATATTTTCGGCTTCCTGGCCAATTGTATTAAATATATAGAGACATTTGTATTTCTATACAGATCTATTTCACGGTTCTTTTTCATCAGACAAAAAAGCTATGGGCTTCATTCCTGGGTGCCTCCCCAGGTCCCCAGAGTGATAGTCACAGCAGCCCCAGCTTGGGGGTGGGGGCTGACCGTGAAACACTGATGTCCACCGTAGTATTGCTGTGCTTTCTGCCTCTTACCATCAGGAGGGAAGGCAGCAGTTCACATCACAGGGCTAGCCACTGATTCCAGAAGCTACCAGGGGCAGCCCACTCTTCTGCATTTTCCACTCTTCAGGGGCAGCAGCAGTAGGTGTGGAGCTGCCCCTCGTGCCCAGTCTGCTCCCTCGGCTTTTGTCACCACCCCAGGAAGCTAGGATCTGAGCAGCCCCACATACGAACCTACAGATGGCTTACCTCTTCCTCATCACAAAGACTGTTGAATTCTCTAGTTTTATGAAGTTATACACATATTCTTATTTCATTCTCTAGTTTTATTTCTCTAGGTTAATTCTCTAGTTGTATTGAGTTATAGACATATTCTTATTTGGGCTTATGCACTAATAAATATTCTCTTGGATCGGTCGTTGCTTCTTATCTACCCCACACAGGGAGGTTGTTCGTGAAATCACATGCCTGAGTAATAGGGAAAAAAGAGCCAGCATTGTGGTGGAAACCCTCTGTTCAAAGGGCAGCTGCCCTTCTGCTAAGTGAGCACTGGAGGGGAATGCCCTGAGCAGTAGAGGGAGCCAAGCTCAGGTGTGGGCTTGGAGAAACAGAGCTGAGAGAGGAGGCCAGAAGAGGCTCAAACAGGTGGGGCATTTGCCCTAGGTCACAGGCAGCCACTAGCAAAGCCAGAATGGTAAGAGCCTCTGGTGTATCAGCTTCTTGATTCCCAGAGAACAGCAGGCTGGTGGGGAATTGTGAGAAGAGAGGAAGTGACATCACAAGGCTGGAACTTCACTGTCAGAGCATCCCCTCAGCACAGCCTGTTCCTTAGGCTGTTCCAAATAGTCTTCCTTCAGAGCAGCCCTGTGGCCAGCCTTGGGGTGACCACATGGTCCCCAGAGATGTCTATAGGACAGAGGCACTGAGGCAGAAGGAATTCCATGGATAGCAAAAGAGAAATGCAAAGAGGCCTTCAGGAGGCTCTGCTTTTTCTTTCATCCTATCTAGAGGGGGCACAAATAGGAGTTCAGTGCCCCAAGGTCCCGGAGCACTCTACAAAGGTTTTCAGTCAAAATCTCTCAAAACTGCCAACCCACATGAAAAGATTGCTTCAGGCCTTTCAGACACTCCATCTGATGTCAACTCTGAATGAATTAGGGGTCAATGCAGTGCTTTGGGCTGAGAGGTGGAGGTTAGGGAAAATGCTCTCTTCCTTTCCCTGCTAATTTCACTTGACCCCTTAACTGTTTCCAAATCCACCTGTCATCTGTCACTCAGTCTGAGGCTTTGCAAAGCCCACTCTGCAGCATTTCTCTGATCTAAGCAAAGACTAGCTAATCACAAGGCTCGGTCCCGTCTATCAAATGGCATAATATGAGGTCCCAGAGGATCCCATGAGATCCTTCTTGCAGACCTCAAAAGCAGGGGAGAAATGCCAGTCACTTGGTTCACAACTATCCCTTCCCTGGCATCAGGCAGGCATGTGCTGGCCCTCAGAGTGTCTTTAGACAGCCCAGGCCTCCTGTCCGGGCCCTCTTCCTTCCTCATCCCTGCTGTTTCTCGGGTGTTTGCTGAGCTCTTTCCTCTGGTGGCTTCTACGTGGAGTCTAAGGCCCCTGCCTGGATCCATCAATTGCTTCTTGGTGACAAAAGTGCTCAGGCTGGGCTCCTACAGCTAGAGGAGGTGCAGGCCCAGCTTGGAGACCTGCAGCACAGAATCCTGACTCATGTGGCAGAAGAGCAGGACAAGTCTGCAGCAAAGCTGCTGCCAGCTTGAGGCTGATCCTTCTCAAGGCCGGAGTGACCACTGGGTGACAGAGAGGAGGGGAGGCCTGCCTCACTGCCTGTCCTCCTAGCTGAGCTCACAGGGTTGCCCTGAGAGGAGCCTGCCAGGAGAGAGGGAGAAGCACTGACCAAGCAGGCAGCACCCCTGCCTGTCCCTTACCTGGGCTGGGCTGGTCCTGCAGGAGGCCTGGCCCACAAGTGCATATCTGTCTTTCACGAAGTACACCAGATCATGCAGCTAGCCCTGAGAAAGAATACTATCAGAAGAAAAAAAAACAAACAAACCTAGCATCATGCATCCTAGGGAAGCCGTTACCAGGGGAATGTGGCCACTCCTGTGGCACCTGGCCTTCTGTTACTGGAACCCTCAAGGTTGCTAGGTACAGTCTGCTGGAACATACCAAGGACACGAGGTTCTGCCAAGCCAGGCAGCCAAGCCAGAGCCTTGAAGGATGATGGCATCTGTCACCACATGCTGCTAGAAAGGCAGGATTTCCTTATTCCTTCCTGAGATTGTCCAGAATGAGCCCCACAACCCAGCCAGGCTTCCAGGGGGCTCAAGACCCTAGAACACACGCTCTGGCTGGCCCTGACTACACTGCCAATGACCAAAAAGCTCGTGGCCTTCCAGACTTCTCACTCCCTGTCGAATAGGAGCTGCCTTGAGGCCCTGTACCTGGGCACTACACAGTCAGGGAGGACCATTCTCTGGACAGCCTAGCCTGGCCTGCCTTAGGAGGAGCCACAGCATCTGGATTTAGAAGGGCTGCACAGCTGCACCTTGGCAAGTCATTTCACTGGCTGTGAGGAGACACCCAAGAACCCACCAATCATTTTGAAAATGTCTCCTTTGAAGGGTTAGTGATGGCTTCCCAGACCCATTCTGCTGCAATACAATGTCCTGTTGGGTCTGGAGCCCATGGTGCTGCCTCAAAGAGGTGACATTTTGGGGTGCCAGGTTACAACATCCACTGTCATTCTCCCACCCCTTCAACCTGGGGAAAGCTCCCCTGAGCCTAGCACAGAAAGACTCTTTTGCCTTCTTTTCCATTTCCCCTACAAGCTTATGAGTGAAACAGTGCAAGCACCATCTGTTCCATTTAAAACAAGAGGAAACTGAGGCTCTGAGAGGGGAGATGGCTTCCTCTCAGGGTGTCTCCTAGTCCCAATGGGAGCAGCTGCATCTTCTTCTCTTCTTCTGTACCCACTCCGTTCTCTTGATTCCCTCATGAACAAAGTGACAAGAACAACTGGCCTACCATCCAAGAGATGGAGAGCAGAAGAGAGAAGAGCCAGTACGAATGGACACAAACAAACTCACTGCCCTCCCCCCACGCCCCCCCCCCACCAAGAGACAAAGGGCACTAAGGAGAGAAATTCCAATTCAAATGACCCGGAAGCTTCACCTCTTGTTGAAAGGCTCTGGCTGCCTGGACATAATCCCAGGCCATGCTCACCCAGCTGGTACACAGTCCTGCTGTGGTGTGCAAACTATCCTTGGCCCCAAATAAGAGAGATGGCAGAAACAATCCTCTTCAGAGGGGCCACAGGAAGAGAGCAGCACACACACATGCTGTGGCTAGAACCAGGACCTGGTCCCTTCATTCGAAAAAGCAATTGGAAAATGCTGTTCATATATTTGCCCTTTGATGTTGAGATACCACTTTGATCCCAAGGAGGTCAAAGTCAAAGTAAAGCATTTTAATTCTAATAAACAGCAGTACTTTTCAGCTAAAGCAAAAAAAAAAACAAACCGGAAACCAAAGGAATGCCCATTGATTGGGGAATGGCTGAACAAGCTGTAATCTATAAATCTACTAGACTACAGTATTCCCCAAATATGAGGACTATAAAGACATTTGAAGAAATCTAAGGAGATTCTAACAGAAAGATACATAACAAAGAAAGCAGAACCAAGAGAAGAGTAAACAAAAAGAAAACAATGTCAAACATGACAGGAACAAAGACCAAAGGAGAGACCAATCCATGCTCTCAAGTACTGTTGGTGAAACATTTCTCGCCCTCCTGGAAGAGACTAGGGGTTGGGGGTGTGGAATGAGACATACAAAACGGGGTCTCTGTGCGGCTACAAATGTGCTCTGCTCTAGCAGGCACAGGGGATGAGAGGGAAACAAGAGGCACAGCATAAAAGAATCCACAAAAGTGGTTTCTAGGGATGTGTGCCCACCAAGTAGACCACTGCTTCTTAGAAAGATAAGACAACAAAAGGGTCCCTGGTTGGGAAAAGCACATGGCACATTTTCTACCTCTTCTCCCATGTGCATCCCACGGAGCTCACTTGCATTCCTCCCATGGCAGACAAGGTTCTGCTTATGTCAGTCTGTGACTCCTACAAGTCTTCTCACACTCCTCCCATTCTTCCTGTCATTTTTCAAAGAATACTAAGGGCTGCCAGGGGGCGCCATAATGCACAGAGTACCTGGCCTCCAGTCAGAGAGAATCATATTTGCCCAGTTCAAAACTGGCCTCAAACACTATGGAAAATGACTCAACAACAACAATAAAGAAGAGTAACATTCACTTCCATTGCGGTACCACAATTTGGCAAGACATTTGTAACAAGACATTTGACATAGCTCTGAAATACTAGGGCAACTTCAAACCAGCTCAACAGTTCTTTTCCAAAAGACTGATGGGAGCAAGGACATGAATGAGACACCCACCAGGTGGCTGTGCTCAGTGCCACGGGAGGGAGACCTGACATCCCCGAGAGCATGAATCCACAGAAAGCCCTACGACAAGCTGATGGCTCAGACAGGGTGAGCACTGGGACCCCCCACTGGACTCTCACGACCATATGTCCAATGCGAGGTTCTGGAGTTAGGGCACCATCGAATGAAGACAGGGCGCCTATAACTCTACAACAGGGCAAACGCTGAAAATGAACTTGTCCAAATGGGAATCTTCAAGACCAACAATATAATCGAATGACAATCAAGCAACAAGTATTTATTTAGCACCTGCTGTGTGCTAGGCACAATGCTAGAAGCAAGTCTTAACACTGCCTATCCTGGAGATTCCATTCTAGTGGGGGAGAGAAGATTGTACGTACATACATACTCATAGATGTCCTACACATGTACATTTGTCTCCACAGGATAAAAAGTAGATAGAAGAGAATGGGGATCACAGCATTAGTAACTAGAGTCCAGGGCAGGATCACGAAACGCTTCTTATACAGGCCTCTGTGGGAATTTTGAAGGAAACTTGGGTTTCCAAGAGGTGGAGGTAAGGAGGAATATTCCAGATGCAAGGGGCCAACAATCTAAAGAAACAGAGACAAGACATGGCTTGCCATGGGAAAGGAACAGTAAGGATGCCCATCATGAAGCAGGGTAGCATGATGGAAGGGGAATGATGCACAATGAGGCTGGGAGAAGGGTTGGTTAGGTAAGGCTGTGAAGAGCCCTCAAAGCCACAAGGAAGAGTTTATAAGGGATCAGAAAGGACACTGTAGTTTCTTGAGGAGTGACATGGGCACATGTCACTTTAGGGAGTTCTCTTTGGCAGCTGTTCCAGAGGATAGATGGGAGGGAGGGAAGCCAAGCAGGAAATTTTACAACAGCTCAAGTGAGAAGAGATCATCTGAACTAGGGTGATGGCTGGGTGGAATTCAAAAGAAAAAGATGAAAAATGAAGGTGGTGAAAGCCTAAGATTTGGTAGAGGACTGGGTAAATCAGTAGAGAGAGAGTGAGGAGCAGTCCATCCCCAGTCATTTATTATTGTCTGAAGACAGAAAGAGAGAGAGCTATGGGTGAGGGGGGGCACCCACAGGGCACAGTCTTGGCCACTGTGAGGTGGGTGACGAGCAAGCAAATGAGGCTGAGAAGTAGATCGAAAAGGAGAACAAGGAGAGAACCCAGGAGGAGGATGCAGAGGGGGCTGACAGTGGCAATAATCACCAGGACTGAGAAAAGGCCAGCTGCTATGGAGTGCTGGGTTACACATGAAGTGAAAGAGGTCAGACTGCAGAGGTGTGACCCCGAGGGAGACAAGAGAGGCAATGAGGAGCAAGAACTTGGCAGTGAGAGAGAGGAGAGACATAGAAGGATGGTTTCTGGAGAAATGGTAAGATCAAGTGAAAAGAGGTGGGCATATCTGTGCAAAGCAAAAAAGTGATGAGTGTCTAAGGAAACACTGAAGAAGCAGCAGGGCCAGGGCAGAGATAACTCAGGAACAAAATGCTGCAGGAGACAGGAAAGAAAGACAGCAACACTCAGTCTGCTGAGAAGAGTTGCCTCTCATCAGAGTTTGGGGAAAAAAGGAAAAAATGGGTGATAGTGTCAAAAGGCTCAAGACATGGAGAAGGGGAGGAATAAGAGGTCAGTGATGAAGGAGCCAAGAGGGGAGGGAACGGTTACAGGAGGCCATGTTCTTACAAGTTTGTGAAACCTACCATAGATCCAATCACATATTAACATTACAGCTCTGTGAGGCTAAGAAACTCTACCCTAACCTTCAGCCTTTAGAATGAAGGTCCACTCTGTTTCTATGTGGAAATCAATCAACATTTAATAAGCACTTAATAGGTGCCAGGCCCTGGGAAAAGCACTGGGGATACAAAAAGGCAAAAGGCAGTCCCTGCCCCCAAGGAGCTTACACTCTAACAGCAGAGAACAATGCAAATAACAATGTCCCACTTAGAAAACAACCTTCTTCAAAACAAGGCCTAGCAATACTTGGCCATTCTTTATCCAATGCAACAGACACATTTCTTTTAGAGCTCAAACTAAAGACTGGAATAGAAGAACAGCTAGAAAGCCTTAGAGCTCCCATTATCTTCATTCAAGAGCTTTTCCCCTTTCATGCAACTGGCCCAAATACTGATGGGCAAGGGTCTCATGACCTCCTCCATTGCATGACACTGAAATACCCACCTTTCATTCTGGCTATGGTTCATGTCAGATCTCAGAAGACATATTAGGTTCATCCCTTGCTCATCCTCTCATTCACACCATTCCTGAAACTCTTCCAGCTCCCCATGAGTCTCTGTCACTTCATTAATTAAGGACAAGACTTTTTCTTTCAACTGTTGGGAAGGAGACACAAAAACAACAGAAACTCAATGAGTCATCACAGAAATGTGCTGCTGCCCCCCAGGAAAGAGGCTTCCAGGAACACTGCCCTGAAATGGTCTTTCAATGACAAAGTCAGGCTGTGCTGCTCCAGGCTTCCAAGGTAAGGCCTGTCTTTCAATACCATCATCAGTGAATGAGGCAGTGGCTCACCCAGCCTGCCTTGCTGGTGGTTTCTCCTTCCTGAGTCACTAGGTCAAGATAACACCTAGCTCTACCCCAAATACACACACACACACACACACACACACACACACACACACACACACACACATATATTAACAAAATTCTTTTATGAGAAGGTTACTGAGCCCAAAATTTTATGGAGAGTGCAATTAAAACAGACCCAGAAGCTTCCTGTCTTGTGCATAGAGATGTTTTTTTCTTTTTTTGGAAATTTATTTATTTTTAGTTTTCAACATTCACTTATTTTTTGGTAAATTTTTATTCATTTTGTTTAATATAAATTTATTTATTTTTAGTTTTCAACATTCACTTCCACAAGTTTTTGAGTTCCAAATTTCTCACCCCTCCCCCACCCCAAGATGACATGCATTCTGAATACCCCTTCCCCTGTTCTGCCTTCTCTTCTATCTCTCCCCCCTCCCTTCTCTTATCCCCTTCCCCTTCTATTTTCCTGTAGAGCAGGATGGACTTCTGTACCCCATTCCTATATTTCTTATTTCCCAGTTACATGTGAAAACATTTGTTTTAAACATCTGTTTTTAAAACTTTGAGTTCCAAATTTTCTCCCTTCCTCCCTTTCCACCCACCCTCATTGAAAAGGCAAGCAACTCAATATAAATTATACATGTGCAGTTATGCAAAACACTTCCATAGTAGTCATGTTGTGAAAAACTAACTCTATTTCCCTTAATCCTATCCCACCCTCCTCATTTGCTCTATTCTTTCTTTTGACCCTGTCTCTCCTCACAAGTGTTTGCTTCTGAGTACCCAATTTCCCAATCTGCCCTCCTCTCTATCATCATCCTGCTCTCTTGTCCCCTTCTCCCCCTATTTTCCTGTAGGGTAGACAGATTTCCATACCCCATTGAGTGCTTCTGCTATTCACTCCTTAAGACAAATCCTATGAGAATAAGATTCACTCATTCCCTCTCACCTTCCAATTTCCCCTCCACTGTAAGAGGCTTTTATTTTATTTTGTTTTGGTTTTTTGTGGGATGATTTACCCCATTCTACCTCTCCCTTTCTCATTCTCCCAGTATAATCCTCTCTCACCCCTTTACTTTATTCTCCAGATGTGACCTCTTCCTCTTCAACTCATCCTGTGCCCTCTATCTATTTATATCTATATCTATCTCTCTCTATCTATATACATACATAGAATTTTTTCCCTCCAACTACCCCAATACTGACAAAGGTCTCATGAGTTACAAATGTCATCTTTCCATGCAGAGATGTAAACGGTTCAACTTTAATAAGTCTCTTCTGATTTCTCTTTCCCATTTACCTCTTTATGTTCAACTTCAGTCTTCTACTTGAAAGTCAAATTTTCTATTCACCTCTGGTCTTTTCATGAAGAATGTTTGAAAGTCCTCTATTTCATTGAATAACCATTTTTCCCCCTGAAGGATTATACTCAGTCTTCCTGGGTAGGTGATTCTTGGTTGCAATCCTATCTCCTTTGCCCTCTGGAACACTATATTGCATGCCCTCTGGTCCCTTAATGTAGAAGCTGCTAAATCTTGTGTTATCCTGATCGTGTTTCCACAATACTTAAATAGTTTTTTTTTCTTTTCCTGGCTGCAAGTAATATTTTCTCCTTGACCTGGGAACTCTGGAATTTGGCTACAATATTCCTAGGAGTTTTCCTTTGGGGATCTGTTTCAGGAGGAGATTGGTGGATCCTTTCAATTTCTATTTTGCCCTCTGGTTCTAAAATATCAGGGCAATTTTAACTTGATAATTTCTTGAAAGATGATGTCTAGGCTCTTTTTTTGATCATGGCTTTCAGATAGTCGAATAATTTTTGAATTATCTCTCCTGGACCTATATTCTAGGTCAGTTGTTTTCCAATGTGATATTTCACATTGTTTTCTAATGTTTCATTCATTTGGATTTTTTTTACAGTGTCTTGAGTTCTCATAAAGTCACTACCTTCTATTTCCTCTATTCTAATTTTTAAGGAAGTCTTTTTTTTTTCAGTAAGCTTTTGAATTTACCTTTCCATTTGGCCAATTTTACTTTTTAAGGCATTCTTCTTCTCATTGGGTTTTTGAACCTCTTTTGCCATTTGGGTTATGCTATTTTTAAAGGTGGTATTTCTTCAGTATTTTTTTGGGTCTCCTTTAGCAAGCTGTTGACTTGTTTTTCACGATTTTCTTGCATCACTCTCATTTCTCTTCACACTTTTTCCTCTACTTCTCTTACTTGCTTCTCAAAATTCTTTCTGAGTTCTTCCAAGGCCTGGAACTGATTCATATTTTTCTTGGAGGCTTTGGATGTATGAACTTTGACTTTGTTGTCTTCTTGTTGTATGTTTTCATCTTCTTTGTCACCAAAAAATGATTCTGTGGTCTGACACTCCTTGTGAGGTTTGCTCATGATCCCAGCCAATTACTTGAGTTATAAACTCTCTGTTAAGGTAGAGGTATGTTTCCAACGTGGAGAATGTACTGTCCCACATTTTGGGGGTTTGTACAGCTGTTTTTAGAGATACTTCTTGGAACCTGTAAATTTTCAGTTTTTCCAAGGTGGTATGATAAAGGGAGAGGTGTTTACTGCTTTCCTGGCCTGTGCTTTCGTCTATAAATGACCACAAGCTTTTTTCTGTCTTGGAACTTTGAGGAGGATTTTCTCTCTACAGCCGCTACAAGCTCCACCATGCCAGTGCTCCTCCTCACCCCAGGACCACCGCCCAGAACTGTAACCCACACCCAAGGACTGGCAAAGCAAGAGATTCCTTCTTCAGCACTGGCAAAGACATCCCTGCAATCCCCCTCTGATCAGCCACTCCATTCCCCCTCAGTCTGTGGGCCAGAAGCTCAGGAGGCAGCCACTGCCCCGGGGCAGTGCTCAGAGCTCTGTGTTTGGGAAATGGCTCTGAGACCTAGCTCCTCTCTCACAGCACAAACAGACTTTTCCCACTGACCTTCTAAGTTGTCTTGTATGTTCCTGGGTTGACAGATCTGGAAGCCACCACAGCTGCCCACAGTTGAGTCTTCTGAGGCCTGCTTCAGGTTTGCTGAGGCCAACACACTCATACCAAGCTGAGCTCCTCTCCCATTTCCACACGATATACCTTTGTGGTCAACCATCCAGGTTGTCTTGGGCTGGAAATTTGTTTCACTTTGACTTTTTGTGGGTTCTGCAGCTTTAGAATTTGTTTACAGCCATTTTTTATAGGTATTTGGAGGGGTTTGGGGGGGAGCTCGAGTAAGTCCCTGCTTTGGCTCCACCATCTTCAGAGACGTTCTTGAAAATAAAGTTGTGACAATGGCTGAAACCCTCCGCTAGCATTAGCTATAATCAGTCAGGGCTCAGGCAGTACGGACCAGGTGGGGATCACTTTAGGATCACAATGATGAATAGACTACAGCAAGGAGAGAGTTAAGGAAGGCAGATCCCACAGTAGCTATTGCCAGAGTCTAGGAGTAAAGTGATGAGGATCTGTACTAGAGTGGGAGCAGAGTCAGAGGAGAAAAGGGGGAATTTTGGAGAGATGGTGCAGAGCTGAAATAGACTAGAGATGCTGCAGAGGGGAAAGAGACAAGAGCTGCTACAGAGGAAAAATAGAGAAAAGATGCTGCAGAGGGGAAACAGACAGGAGATGCTGCAGAGGTGAAGTTGGGTGAGGTGAGGCCAAGGAGAGGTTGAGGAAAATGAGAATTGATAAAACAGCCATTAAGAAATCACTCTTCTCTTTGGAGGGAGCACTTTTGGTGGAATGATGAGGTCAGAAGCCAGAGTAAGAGGGAAGAAGAGAATCTACACCCGGGGTAGCTGGGCTCCCCTAGGAGTTCATCTCCAAAGAGGAGAAGGTGCACAAGTGAACCCCGAAGCCTAAGGCAGCCATGCACACGCAGGCCTCGATCTTTATCCCTTTGAAAGGGTGTCCTGTTCAGTTCATCCTCAGGCTGGTAGGACTTCTGGGGGTCTTAACACAGCTACCAGAGCCTCAAACTATCTCAGAGAGCTGTGATCAATGAATTTTCAAAATACACTCTCACCTTGCTCAGTAAGCTTGCAACTGGACCTTGACTCTGGACAGGATAAATAGGAAATGATGAACAGAGGAAAAGCCCTGGATTTCAGAAGGCTAGCTAGGGAAGGCTTCCTGGAAAAAGTGGGATGTCACCTGGGACTAGAAGGAAGCCAGGGAGCTCAATGAGTAGAGCTAGGGAGGGAGGGTGTTCCAGGCCTGACCAACGGCCACAGAGAATGCCCAGAGACAAGATGGAGGGGCTTCTTCATGGGGCAGCTGGAAGGCCTGGGCACTGGATAGAAGAGGATACTGTGCGAAGCAAAGTGGAAAGAGGCTGGAAAAGGAGGAGGAAGCAGGTGATGAAGGGCTCTGAATGTCAAACAGAGCATTTTATATTAGATCCTGGAGGACACAAGGAGCCACTGGAGTTTACTGAGTAGGTGAGTGACATGGTCACAACTGCACTTTTGGAAAATCACTTTGGTGGCTGAGTAGAGGGGAGAGACTGAGGCAGGCAGATCCCCCAGCAGCTACTGCTATAGTCCAGGCAGGAGGTGATGGGGGCCTGGACCAGTAGAGGGGCAGGGTCAGAGGAGACAATGGGGCATAATCGGGTGATGTTTCAGGGCTGACATCAACAGACCCTTGCACCACTTTGGGTCTGGGAGGCAGGGAAGGGAGGGAGAGTGAAGATCCAGGATGATGCCTCAGTTGTGAGGCATCTTCCCCCTTCACAAGCCATTGAAATCTGTTTACTTTTACTAGTCAGCTAAAGGACACAATTAGTTGAAAGCAAAGGCATTTAATAAAATATCTTAGGAAGAAAAACAGTAATAGAACATTTCCTGCATAAACTAGGACATGGCCTCCAATAAATATACACTATCAGTGGGAAGATTGGATGATCATAGGGGGCACACATGAAGAAACATAAAAGTGGTAAGAGATTAAGATCCTACTATGTGCCAGGCACTGTGCTAAGTGCTTGACAAATATCTCATTTCATCTTCACAAGAACTCTGTGAGGTGGGTGCTATTATGATTCTTATTTTGCATTCAGGGAAACTGAGCCAGGCAGTAGTTCAGTGACTTGCCCA